TATAAGTATGATGTTCATATGCGATTTCTTTTTTTTTTTGTGTAACTAATATATTTATATATAGAAGAAAAAAAATTTCTTTGCGAGGGTAGAGTAATAAAATCCGCAAACGTTTCTTCGATCGACTACGATTATGGTTTTTTTTTTGTGTTTTCTTTTATAAATTGCAAATAACGATTTGCTTTGCGTTAAAAGCCTCGTCAACGTTACGTAAAGTATATATATCCATTTTTATGAACGCGGGTTTGAAAATATTTCTATTCTCGATAGGTCAAACCGCAAAATACCTTTCGAAGTATGCGAGAATGCAATTACTATCATTTATCGAACTGCTATCGGGCGAAGACGATTTCTAATGACCTTAAAAACGGCCTCGTAATTTCTTGCGTTAAAATCGTTTTCTCATCCATCATATCAAGACAATTTTACGCTCTATGGTATAAATTAAAAGAGAAAGTCCATAACAAATTTATCGAAAGTATCACGAAGACTATAGTTGCATATATAAAATTGACTTTACTTTAATATCTAAAAGTCACGATATATTCGAGATATGTTTTCTAAGGTATTCCAAAAAAAAAAAAATAGAAAAAGCAAAAACACACCAAAAACAATTTCTCATAACCTTGAAATTAATTGTAGAATGCTATGTACCCGTGGAACGATGCATCAACGTTGGAAAATCTTTCGAATTTTTTAAACGAACTAATTGAATCGTGTAAAAAAAAAGAAAAAGCAAAAAAGAAAAGTCTAATATAAATTGAACATTAAAACGCGTAAGAAAAAGAAGAATTCAAGAAAACGATGATGGAACGCGAGGTATCCGATGCCGAGGGTGTATTTTCAAGAGGATTATTAGGAAATTGGGAAGAATTACCGACGACCTTGAGAAGACGTCAAAAGCACAGACCAGAAATCCTAAATCAATTTGCCGACTTTTCGGAATCGTCGGAAAGTGAATTTCGTAAGGTTGACGGTCATGCTTTTAATAACGTTCAACGTGTCGTCAGAAGATCGGAATTTTTACGAAGATTGGACGTTAACGAGAATGGAAAGAACGTTGAAACGAAAAATGATAGAAAATCGATAACGTCCGATCGTTTGTATAACGGATTGAACGAAGATTATCGTAGACATTACGATAATAATCACGAGACAAAATTAGTATCACACAAAAAGAGTCTAGTTAATTTATCTAACAGATTCGATTTGAAAAGTTTGTCAGACGAGGATCGTAAAACAAATTCACCGGACAGTCTTTTAGTTAAATCCTCGGAATCCGATCTAAGCAGCGACGAGTATGGACACACCGATGATTCTGGAGCATTTTTAGAAAAGACATCTAACTTAGATCGTAACACTTCAAAGATCGAACAGAGAACAACTACAGGTTTCATTAAATTCTTCGCTCGTGACAATGATTGTAACAAACTTAAGAAAAAATCCGATGATTTATCACGTACTACGACACCTTTGGTATATGCCAATCAATTGGACGTTAACAAGAACAATTTGAATCCGAATTCGAAAAGTTTCGATTACGTTCGTAAAGATACGAAAAATGATTATCACAGTAATCAACAAAAATTCGAATACGAAAATATTCCTCGTATAGATATGTCGAAATTAGATCAAAAATCTTTTATCAATCATAACTCGACTAAGAATACGGAAAATGAATCACAAATTGATCATGATAATAATCATCATCATCATCAGCATCATCATCATCATTATAATCATCGCAATCAATCTCAACCAACGATTGAACAATTGAGATTGGAGGAGGGTTGTCAGTTAAGAAACTCGAGAAACTCGTCACCCAATTTAACGAGAAATGCGGAAGACGGTAGGAAGTATCGTACGCCGTCACCGAATCGTCAAAGAAACGGTACAGATGATTTAAGGATCAACGGACTCATTCAAGATTTCTATGATAGCGAGCAGATGATGGCACGGGTGAACGGTGATCGAAGGATGTCCAAGATGGAAACTATCACGGAAGAAAATGCAGCAAACGATGGAAATAAACTTAGCGTACGTGAGATATTGAAGAGATTCGAGGAACTTCGTACGCAAAACGAAATACAACAGGCCTCCGAGGAAAAGTCGAATGACAAAACGCTCACCACCATTCAGGAGACCTTGAAGAAACTCGACGAGAAGGTCAAGAGCTTCCAGGTCATGATCCCCATTAAAAAAAAAGTCGAATCTCTTTTCTTTTTCTTTTTTTTTTTTTCTTCTTATTATATTACTTTTACCTGAATGTCAACCTCCCCCCCCCCTCCTTCTCCACTGATCACCGATCGCATTCCACAAACTATATTTTTATCCTCGATTTTGTTGAGTTGCAGAAAAAGAGAAACTCCACAATTTCGTATCTTTCTCTTACGAGACAAAGATATTTGAAATGTTTTTAAATGTTTCTCTCTATTATTCATTAAGAAATGAATGTGAGAGTGTTAATGGGAATGAAAGTATCTTACAATTTCGCTGCTAATGGAAAAATAAAATAATTGTATATGCATAATTTGAAAAGTAATCACATCAGATTATATTATAATTTACTGTTCATTTTAAAAGTAACAATTCAATTATTGTTAATAAATAAACATTCTCACATTGCTATGAGAAACGATGAAAAAGAAAAATATAAAGGAGAAACGTTATAAACAAATCAACATAATATCGTAAATCGTACAAAATTCTCACATATAATTGACTTACATTCGATAGCATTAAATAGAAATACAAATTTCCGAACATTCAAGGATTTCTCTGGTTTCATTTTTACGAGCTCTAGGAAATCAACTTTTTGTTTTTTTTTTTTTTATATGAATTCGAGGTATACGAAGAAGTCGACCTTGAATCGATCTCACCTTTCCATAATTTTTCTTCTTTTCCTTTTTTTTTTCTTAACACCCCTTTTTCCTATCTCTCTTTCTCTTTGTCATTTTTCTCTTATTTTTTTGTTTCCTTTTTGTTCTTTTTATCTTTCTCAAGAAAAGTATTGAAAATAATCGTATGTGTTATTCCGCAAGGTGATGATAGAAATGTGTCACCTCTTTCTTCCGTACAAATCTTTAAGTTTACCACAAGAAATTCTTTTTTCTTTTTTTTTTTTTTTTCTTAAAGAAGGAAAGAAAGAAATAAAAGGAAAAAAAAATAAAGAATAAAGACATACCGCTAGGTGAAGAAAATAAGACATGGGGAAAGGAATGTTCGATGCTTTTATATAAATCATGCCGGATAACTGTTTCCACGCCACGATTGTGCGAAAGGCGAATTATCTCGAATGAGAGGCACCTATCTTAAAGAAATATAATATGACCAAAGAAGAAATGAAACGTGTTAAAAGATATGTTTATATTCATCCTTGTGTCGTAGTCTTCGTCTTCGTTTTAGTGTTCTATGTCAATTAATAATATATATCTAACAGACAAAATTATTGAGATCATTTTATAAGTTTCGTGAGAAATAGGTGGATAAAAGAAAAACAAAAAATATAACAAATCTGTATAGGTATATAAAGGGGGAATCTATTTAATATATCGTTCGATCATTAACGCCATATGCTCGTAACGTTGATAAGGAAACTGGTATTTCGAGATTATACTTAAACTTAAACATCACCGGATTAGAAACTGCATTTTTCGAAAGCGTCAATTCCGCGAATACGGACTCCTTTTATTTATTCGCTTTAGTACTTAGAAAGTCGAGACATGTTCATACATGCATCACGTGATCACGTGATACGTATAAGTTATTATAAATTCGTTAACACTCGTCTAGTTTCATCTCACGGCAAGTATGTGGATGCATTTGAGATATAATGTGGGTCAGGGTCGACATCTGTTTATCCCACATACAAACACATATCCATAGCACATATGCTTTCATATATCTATACGGACACTTACACACGCGTTTGATAGTTTTACTTGTTAAGAATCGAGCTTTCAGGTATCCATATACCGGGTGTCGCTTTATTTAGTCATGGAGGTCAGATCGGGATACTATACAAATATACGAGAATTGAATTCTATTTTCTCTTTACGACGAGAAAAGTCCATAATTAATTTCATTATCGATATATAGGTTTTGAATAATACCACGAACAAAAATATTATTATATCGACAAAATGCATGAAATGCCGAGAAAAACTAGGTAAGATAATGTAAAAAGAATAAAACCATTGATGAAACGAGATTTGAAATGTCTCTTGGTATTCGATATCATCCGATACCAAAGAAAATCAATGAGAAATCGATTGAAAGAAGCTTGAAACAATTTATTATTAATGAGCTTGATATTTAATGGATGCCAATGTTTCTTTCTCTACTTATAATAGAAAAAGAAAAAGAAAGAAAAAAGAGTAAAAAGAAAAAAAAGAAAAAAAAAAGTGGCAATTCGAGAAACGCGGTTGCGTGTCGGTTAGAGGGAATTGATCGGCTTAGAAGGGAAACGTGTTGTTTTTTTTCGTACGTGAAACTGATCAGATACCGTACATAGAGGACTGGTGAAATGGAGGAAATGAAAATGGCAAAAAAGTAGCATGGAGGAAACGTTAAGAGAGGTCCTCGTCGAGTCGCGATAAAACTCGTTCGAATTGCACGAAGACACGCGAGGGAGAGAAGAAGAGTCTTTTTAAAGAAAGTAAAAAGAAAAGAAAAGAAAAGCATTCTCTGATCATATAATTTATGTTATGATTTATCATACACATATCTACCTTTATCCTACCTCTACGTTATGATTTATCGTACTGTTCATCGTACTTAATAATCGTTTTATCATATACACTAACCAGTTAGCATGCCCCACTGATCATCATACGCAACTTTATTCATTATGCGATTCGTTATACTTATTTAGTTATTTTATCTCAAGTTATTTTACGATTTGCTATACTTCTTATCTGTGTTATTGTAAATGCATTTTTTTTTTATGACATAAATAATTTTCTTATTTTTTTTTTCTTTTTTCGTTTTTTCTTTTACAGATCGAACAGAAACCTCAACAAAAGCCGAATCATCATCATCATGAAAATCACGTATCGCAGATCACAAAGAGTATTCAATTGCAGACAAATCACGCGACGACAACGAATCACGTACAATCTCACAATCAAAACAATCATATTATTTCCAATCATGAAAATCACATGCCGTTGAATCGCGTGCCAAATCATGTGTCCGTTGTTAATCACGCTAATCATCAAAAGAATCAACAAAATCATCGAACGAGCCCCAATCAAGAATGGCGACAACCGGAAGACAATGGAAGATTGCACGACGAAAGTATTTACGAGAGTGGTCCCGTTGTCAACGATGGAAAACACTCACTATTGCAATACGCCATGTTAAATTTCAGACAAAGCACGGAAAAGTAAGTGAATCATATTTTTTTTTATGCAAATTTTTCTTTCTCTATAACGTCACGTAACACACTTTTAACAATCAAAACAAGTATATTTGTTTATATTTTCAATTTTATTTCTTTATCGCGAAAATAATTGTTAGTTCGTAATTAGTAATAATTAAACTATAAGTTTTCACGTTATATAATTTTTGTTAAACTGTAGGGAAGTTAATATTCGATAAATAATGATCGGAAAAATTTAGTCGAACGACCTTACGATTTTTAATGAAAGCATGACTAACAAACGAATTATATTTCTTATAGCAGATTATTCAAATAGCATTTCTCTCGTATTATATCGTAAACAAAAAAATAGAAATAATACAATTGTATTTAAAATATTCTTCTTCCATAAATATGAATTTAATTTGTAACGACTATAACTCGAGAATAAGGTAAAACGATAGTTGAAATATTTTAATATCAAATTTCACTTAACTTGGTTTAGCAACAATTCGAATTACCGATGCATCTTCAACGTCTGCATCGTTTGTTTCTCATGCACGTAGTTAAACCACCTGATCGAGAGCATTATGTCGAAAACAAAGGCTTATGAAAGTACGGAATTCACACATTCTACAATGTAGAAGAAAATCTTGCGTTCGATTTTGTACATAGGCATAAAACGTAAAAAAGATAAAATCTACTTGTTTAAGGAATTGGCAACGGGAGGGGGAAATATTTTTGCATTTGAAAAAAAATGCAAAATCTAATCGTATACGAGAGATACATTAGACTTTCACGAGAAAAATGTCACCAATCTTGTCCCGGTTGAAAGAAAATTCCAAGCCATCGATAGAAATAGTGAAAATCATTGAGTAAAAGGGACGGAAGCGGTGGTGAGGGGAGAGGGGGAGGGTAGTATGGGAGGGGTTTATAAATAAATGCAATAAAAATAATAAAAGCTAGTTTTACGCTATTACTATTATCGATCGCGGTAGTACAATAATTACGACGAATGAATAAAACGTAAAATGATAATCGGTAAACCACCTGGCTTACGCAAGAAGACACACACGAGGAGAGATTCGTGTTGAGAAAGCATAACGCATGCAGTTCTCAGATAACATCAACCACCAATCACCGACACGGTTCTCTTCTCTTTCTTCGTCTTCTTCCTGAATCGCGCGCTCTCCATTTCTTCTTCATATATTTTTTATTTCTTTTCCTTATTTTTCCATAGTTAGAAGTGCGCTCTCAGGATGTGCTGGTAAAAAAGATTTTCATCTGGCCTTTCTCTTATAAAATACAATCGTCGTTATAACAATTTGCATTTTAATACGGAAATCAAGGAAAGAGAAAGAGAGAGAGATAGAAGAAAAGAAAATACAAATATCTTTTAACTTTTTTCTTTAACGATATATGTTTTTTTTTTTAAGAAAAGATATATATCTTAATAGAAAAGATAAATACCTACTCTTGTTTTTCTCTTCTTGTTCGTCAGGTTCGAAATGTTAAAAACAGCAGACGGTTCGATAAGTGGTTCGTTGAAAGTGATCGAATCGTTGAAGAGCAAGAAAAAAGGGAAGAAAAACAAAGGACAACAAGATGGTGCTGAATGGACATGGAAGGAACAAGTGGATCTTGTCAAATATTCGAATGTACCGATTGAACAAAGTCTTTTGAGACTTGATGCAGATTTAAGTGCATTGGCCGTCGAGTGTTTTCTATGTTTGATGAGATATATGGGAGACCAACCGTTACCTCCTGATATGAGCGAGGTCAAATGTGTCTACACGATTCTCATGGTAAACATGTTTTAAATGATTATCATCACATTTTATCATATATATATATATATATATATATCTTAAATAAATATGTATATTTTCATTTCAATTATATTCACATTAGTTGAAATTTATTAACATTCATTTTATTAGCATTGTCACAAATACGAATTATTACGTGACGAAGTTTATTGTCAATTGATGAAACAAACAACAAACAACAAGAGCCCTAATCCAGACAGCTGTCAACGCGGATGGCGTCTTTTCAGTATCGTAGCTGCTTATTTCACTTGCAGCGAAGGATTAAAACCGTATTTAACTAAATATCTCGAAACTGCAGCTTACGATAAGAGACGAGCCTATCACGGTACCGCTACGGTTTGTCTTCAAAATTTAAGAAAAACTGTTAAATATAGTGGACGAAAAAATGTACCAAGCGTAGAAGAGATCATGGCTATCAGTGCGGGAAGAAATGCTAAAAGACAAATTTATAGATTACCTGGTGGAACCGAAAGAGTGATCAACACTAAATGTACTACGGTTGTGCAGGTTCGGATTAATTTAATTTATTTTTTATTATTCTTATTAATATATATTCATTTATTTCATTCAAAAAATTGACATATTTAATCAATATCGTAAATTTAATTATTTGGTTTTTTTTTTATTAATAATTATTATATATTTTTTATTTTTAAAGGATGTCATCGAAGAAATGTGCAATGTCATATCTGTAAGAAATCCACACGAGATGGACGAGTTTTCGTTATATTGTATAGTCGATGGGGATGCATTTACTATGCCATTGGCAAGAGACGAATACATTTTAGACGTGACCACCGAATTACACAAAAATCATCAGGTGTTTTATTTAATATTTTGCAGGTACGATTATATATTTCAATACGATTAAGAATTTATTATAATAAATAATGTATGTTAATAATCACACATCTATGCGAATATATAATTTTGTTTTTATTTTTTTATTTGTATTAGATCCGTGTGGTATTATTCGTTAAGGCTCGACGCACCATTGTACATAGAAGTTGTTTTTAACCAAATTGCTCCGGATTATTTAGAAGGACTCTTGTTAGTATTACCCGGAGAACACTTACCTCAAGAAGTCATTGTAAGTATCACGATCGTGTCGTTGTAACTTTTTGTTTTATTTTTTCTGTTTTCTTTTTTTCCTTTTTGTTCCCCAATATTTAAAGAAACAAAATTTCTTTCAGTACGATATGGCTCAAATAGCAGCACTTTTGCATAGAGCAGCTGACATGACGCACGAGCCTGCTACAAAGGAAATAAAATATTTGTTGCCAAAACCAGCGCTTAGTTTAAGAGAACCAAGACCCCAACAATGGTCGAACATGGTACAACAAGCTTGGAACAACGTACAACACATAACAGCAGCTGCTTCCAAAGCCCAAGTATTAGGTAAATATCAAATATATATTAACGATTTCAATCGCAAATCAAAAAAAAAATATATACTTCACGAATGTATATGAATTTTTAGAAATATTATCAAAATGGCCGTTATTCGGGTCGAGTTTTTTCGCCGTGAAAAGGATCCCGGAGGGTAAAGAAAAGGGCGGCGATCATATATTAGCCTTGAATCGTCACGGTGTACATTTCATAGACTTAGTCACTCACGTGAGTATATTAAATATTTCTAATTAAAAAAAAAAAAAAAAAGAAAAAGTCAATATTATTAAGGTGAACCAAAAGTTCGTGCGTTTTTTAAATTAATATTTTACTCGCATATAAAATAATTTGTTTTATTGACTTAAAAAAAATTGCACTATCTGAAACAACGCAATAAACGGACGAACTTTTGGTGTTAATCCTTATAAAAATTAAAATATATATATATTATTTATAATATATATAATGTGTTTGAAAAATATTTTAGGAAACGTTGTATCATTATCCATACTCCGAAGTTATTTCAACGCGAAAAGTTAAATCCGAGGAAGGTACGCTTTACTTGGACATGAAATGTGGCAATCTTATGCAACAACGTATAACCAGACTGCAAACAGAGCAAGCTCATGAAATTTCACGTCTGATTAGGCAGTATATAACCATGGAACAAATAACTACCAACTCGCAGACCGGTGGTGGAATTGGTTTTGGAATGAGATAAACTCATTAACGTTAAACTTTCGTTTTTTTTTAATCTGTCACTGTTACAAGACGGATCGTAAGATCGTTCGAAATAACTATGAACGGATCTTCCACTTCTTCTTTTTCTTCTTCTTCGATCGTTCGGGATACGAAAGTAAAATTGGTTTGAAGATTGAATTATCTAAGAAGCGTTTACTATATAACGACTGTGTAAATAGCGCCGTGTAATAGGATCGTTTAAAGGATGGAAAGAAGAAGTTAATTTTAAGAGAGAACGACGATTCTGTACGTCGAAGGAATTTATTCTTCATTCCTCGGGGGATTTCTTTTTTTTTTTTGGTTTTAGGCTTCAGTACAGAATACTAGTCGAATCCTCTCTCTTGATTTATAATATTTATATAATACATTCTTTTTTTTTTTTTTTGTTGTTTAATATGTACTATTTACGTGTACCGATTTTTTTTTACTTCACTTCATTTTTTTTTTGTTTTTCTCTTTACAAATCATGACAATTATTATCTTAATAATATAGATAAATAAACAAAAAAAAAAACAAAAAAAGATATATAATAATTATCGACGGAGGTGTAATAGCAGAGATGTCGTTTACGATTAGATTGAAATCGATCTTATTAACTAACAAAATATTAAGGACGTCGAATACGATTGTTTTCTCGTGTTATAGACAATGTTATGAAAAAAAAAAAAGACCGATATTTATTTTAATTTCTTTATCATCTCGTCGCGATTAAATCGATGAAACTTTCTCACATTCTTATTTTCTAATTTTTTTTTTTTTCTTTTAAGTTTATTCGTTTACGTAAAAGTATACGCTCGATGATGGAAAATCATTGAACATGTCGAGAATTAAATTCATTTATTCGAACACCAGCGTATATTTATACGAATCTCGTAAGAAATGTGAAGGATCAGCAATTCTGTTTCTCTCTCTCTCTTTCTCTTTAAAGAGAAAAAGAGAGAGAAAGATAAAATATGTAAATCCACGCGAAGTTGATAAGACTAATCTTAATGATTACGTTTTCAAAAGACTAACAAATAGAGACTACGATATAATAAAAACAATAATAAAAAATAATAATATTAATAATAATGATAATGATAATAATAATAAAATAATAATATTAAACATAATAATAATTGTATGTATGCATATATAGAGATATGATGTGAAAAAGGAGCCTTAACTTTATATTAAAATTTGTACCTATACCTAACGTGGATCGTGAATGAACATAAAAATGTTATTACCATGAACAACCTGGGTTTGTAAACCAATGGTACGGTTAAAAATGATACAAATATTTTGTACAAATTTTTCCAGCATGATTCAAATTTAAGTTCACATTCGAATAACAAAAGTTTTGCATCATTATCATCATCATCGTCGTTGTCGTCGTCGTACGCGTGTATATGAATATTTTTTACAAAACATGATTTTAACAATATCAAAAAATAATCCAAAAAATGTTATTGGTTCCCGTTGTGTTCCGGACTGGAACCAGGTGTCTTTGCTTTGATATCTTGAGGCCAATTGCTTGCAGTATGACGAACATAACCAGGATCCGTAGGTGAGGAAGGTGTACGAACGCCAGTTTGAGTTCCAGTCGATCTGAGAGAACTGAAACATTCTTCCAGCATCTCGATCTCGTTCTTGCTTCTTTCTTCTATCTTGCTAGGAATTTTCAGAGCCAATGAACCATTCGAAGAAACCCCACGATCTTTTTTTAATATACTCGGTGATGTTCCTCTCATCTTTACTGGTACATTGTCGTATTGGCTAGAGTCGGAATATCTTTAAAAATATATATATATAAAATAATATATTAATTTTTTGTTAACATTTGAACTGTGTGTGGTGGCACTTGTATTAAATTGTTTCATGATATACAAAAAAAGTATTAATGAAGAAAAGAATTAATTATTATATGAGCCACATTAAAAAAGATCAAAATAGAATTAAATCTACTTGTAGAATAATTGAAAATTTTCAGAACAAAAAACATTTGATAGATATATAATTTTTTACAATTGAAAGAAAAATTTCTTGAATAATTAAAGTTAACACAAAACTAATTAATAAACATATTTATCGTTGTTGAATAATCAAACTATCAATTGTCATTACGTTTTCGAATTTGCACAAATGATCAATTAATATATATGTTACCGTCGAAGCCGGAAATCAGGCACTGCTAGTAATAAAATGCATGTATAAAACATTTCGTTCTAAACCAGCTTATCTTCCGATACGATAAAGGACAAAAAATACAGATTTTCCGTTATAGCGATACAACAATCTCAACAACCCCCACCATGCTCGTTTTTATGTGTGTGTATGGGAGCGGGTAGTGAGTTGTTTGTTGGGGGAAAGGGGGTTGTGTCGGGTCTGTGCTCGAGGATGTATTCTTTTCAACGTTGTTTAAATAGTAATTTGATATTCTATAGAATTTTAAAGTATTATGTTCAATGCTTAGGAAAAACTGAAAGAATTCTTCTGTTTCCGACTTCATCGGAATGCTCTTTGCATTGATAACAATGCCGAGGAATTACTAACAATGACTGATTTCCGGCTTCGACTGTAACATATATAAAAGATAATAATGAAATAATTTACCTGTAAGTATCGTGAGGTTCATTGACGTCACGTTGAATTTTCATAATCTTCACGCTAGGATTTACAATTTTGCCAAAGATTGGTTCGTTCCCTCGATTAAGATTAGTTGGAAACGGTGGTGTGTCGAGTTCGTCTACGGGTCGTTGATAAATGTCACGAGATTTATAAACAATTCTCGAATCTTCGGTTCTACGATTATCGTCAAACGTTCTGTTCGCAGGATTACTTCCTTGAAGTATTTCAGCTTCCCTGTATCGTTGAGAATCCCTTAATACACGCCCATTTTCGAAGTTTTGCGTGTGCTCACGTAATTCTCTCTCGACAATATTGAAATGACGATTTCTTTCCAATTCGTAATTGTCGTATGCGCGTGATTCGAATCGTTGCGGTTTATCGGAATCTTCTTCGTCGTTTTCCTTGCGTCCTCGAACATCCAATTTCTCGAATCCTTCATTTATCTTACCGTTGATTTCCTTCGATTCTTCCTCCGATTTCGAATTTAATATTTCTTTCGAAGGCATAATTTCCTTTTCAGTCGTCATCGTGGTCATCGTTGGTTGCTTGGCTGTGGCATTTTGTAAAAGACTCATTGTAAAGGATCAACGGACAGGAGAGGAACATGAAAATTTGTAACACATTCAAAACCGACAACGTATATAATTCCTCTTTACGTTGATTAAATAATTAATATTAATTATTAATTTGTTTGTGGTTTGTTTTATCTTTTTTTTTTTTTCATTTAGTTTGTGATCGTTATAATATTATCTATTTTTAATTATAGCAATTTTGTTAATATTTCAAATTATTATATGCGATATTCAATTAAACACCGATTACGAATGTGTTATATCAATATAATTGTACAAAACTATACGTTTGAACACGATGATAAAGATTAAATTAAAATCATCAAAGGATTTGATATCGAGATCATATTATATTTTCATTATACGTTTAACATATTCCCTAAATCGTATGATTAATATTAAGAGAATTTACAACAACAAAAAAACAAAAGAAAAAGAAAAAAATATATGAAAAACGATATTAAAACCAAGGTGATCCAAGATGATCCAGCATCTGATGGAGACGAAGGTGTAATTTAAACAGATGAGGAGAGACCTTTTCCTGCTTTCAACTTGCCTGAATCCTTATCGTTGATTATTCGCACTTCCTGTTTATCCTTTTTACGAGGAGGAGATATTAACAGATCTGCGATGAATGCTAAAGCCGTGATTAAAGCGAGTGCACCAAGGACAGCAGCATTATCGATCAAATCCTCTGGAATACTTTCGATTGATGCTAAAGCGAGAGCACCGACGATTCCAAAAAGTATTATTCCAAGACCAAGAAAGAAGATTTCCTTTGGATCATAAATAAAATTAACATAATAAACAATATTATTCGTATAATATCATTTTAAATAATATAATAATTACAATTTTTTTACATAACCAAACTCACACATGTGCCAAATCGATTAAAAATGTAGACAATATTTATAAAGTTACATGCATTTTCATATCATTTTATTAAAAAATTTCTATAGAATTTTTCATCACATTAAGGAAATTAAATTTAAGTATGAAAAGTTAAATGACTTAACGTTCAAATTAAAAAAAAAAAGCAATTTTAATAATGGAATTTTTGGCCAATTAACACGAATCCCCTATTGCAAAATAAAGTATACTAATTTAAATTGTAAGAATATTTTCGAGGTGTGATACGAATTGATTTGTAATAATCATCATTGAAGCAAACGCTTCTGGATTGAGATCAATCCGAGATATGGCCTAGCCCTATTTATGAGTCATAAAATAAGTTAGAATAGCATGCATGATGAACAATTTAATGATCATCGTGTCCACCAAGGATAACGTTACGTGCCTAAGATTCTATACAAATTGCACTTAAGGACACTGCCAACCTTGGCCACCAATGACAACCTCTATGAATGCGTTCGGTTACGTTGTTGATATTCTCACGCTGTCATTTAGTTTCGCAGTATTTTCATACGTAGCATAAACCGCACCCGATGGAATCGACTTCGCTCTGAATAAATTAAAAAAAGAAAGAAAGATATATCCTGAGAAAGATCACGAAGAGTAATCCGTATTGTTAATCAGTATGTATATAATAACTATAATTTATACTTAATCTTGTTTCTTTTTTTTTTTTTTATCTTCCAAATCTTTAGAATTTATATTATCTATAATTATTATTATGTCGAAGTTAACGTTATCAATGACAGATCAATTATTTTTCATTATTTTTAATTGATTGTATTTTTTTTTTCTTTTATTACTCATTGTCACATTTATACTCATCATTGCCAGGCACGTTAAAACTAAATTGCATTACGAGTTTACCAAGAACTTTTGAAACAACCTGTCATTGTTTAGTAATAACAATTTACCGTGCATAAGTATTTATAACACCATAATAGCTACTCGAAGAAACGTTCATTAAACGCAAAACAGAGAAATACGGTGGCCTTCCAATAGAGAAATAATGGAAACAAGACGGAAATCTATTCGACAAGTTTGATGTATTATACTAAAGGAATTTTAGGACAGCATTTGCAGTTAGAGATAGGTTCGTTCTGTCGTTAAAATATTACAATGCATGGTTATCGCAAGAGAAAGATACGGGCTTTGGGAACATCAGAACAATGGGATAATTATTACACGTCAAATGTCGAGTCGTATGTCACCCTTTTTTGTTCTTTTTTTATTAGTTCTTTGAAAATAAAAAWAAAAAAAAAAAAAAAACGAGAGAAAATTTCACGAAGAAAAGGATATACGTTAATGATATCGCGTTTTTGTTCGTTTTACCTTTCGTTGAAATAAGAATAGAACATTTTTTGGTGTCAAAATACAAATATATGGGACCACATACACATATATACATACATACATAGTATCATAACACTCTCTTACGTCACTTATGAAGAAATATTAATTACCATTTTTCGACCTGTAAGTTCGTTTGTTGCCGCGGCAATAAGAAGACCTGCAGTTATGATGACGTAGCCACCGCAAGTCGCTGTTGCAAGAGCGGCACCTAAATCGTTCCATAATTTATAATAGTCTCGGCAAAATTTCAATTCACACTTTTTTAAACTGGATGTATTAATTTAAATATCTTCTAGATTAAATATATATTCCAAAATAAATTTCTTTTTAATTGATTGCGAGAGAGATAAAACGCTAACGTTTCTTTTTATTTATTATTCTTTATTTTTGTGTGATTTATTTATTTACCTATGGTACCCCATGTGACGTTGTTTAAAAGCGACCACTCTCTGCTGCGATTTCTTAAATAATGAAATACCCTTCTGCTTTCGTCATCGGTCACTCTGAGCGCTACCACGCATGCTATGCAAAGAAGCTGAAAATTTTATTCACCCCCCACCCACCCCCCTTTTTGTTAAAACTCTGACATTAATTGTATTTATCTTTAAAAAAAAGAAGAAGAAGAAAAAAAAAGATACATTTGTCGAACGTTTAGAATCAATCAATTTTCTAATTAAGATCAATCTCGTTAAAAAAAAAAAGACACTCTTCCTTCCTTCCTTCCTTTCCATTATTCGAATAATTTCGTTTAATTATCTGATTGTGAGAGAAGTCTCACGTTGAAAAAAAAAAAAACCTATTATCCAATTAGAATGAGAATTGAGGATAGCAGGGTGTAAGTTTTACATACCATTTCGATTATTCTGATGAACACCTTGCGATTCCACATTTTAGGTGACGGATAATTAAATGCGATGATGTAAATGCGATAACAAATTGGTAGGAAATAAATAATTCGCGTAATATTATTCGTGAATATAATATTTTCATAAGATTTTTATCTGCCACTTATTTTTGATAAAAATCGATCAAAATTATTTTCGGCAAATATCTTCAACGACCCTCTTCCGAAATACATCACTTATATCTACCCTATTTCTTTTTGTTTTTATTTCTTTTGAAATTTATTTCAATACTAACTAAGTAAAAGTAATTATTCCTGTCACGTTAAGCAAAAGAAAAGAATAAAAAATCAACGAACTGTGTCTCACGAAAGAAGTTTTTCGTGTAAGACAAGGAAAGTGACACACGGTTGACCGATTTTCCGAGTACACTTTTGTTTCGAATAGTTGAGCTAACTCCTCTTAAATCGTGCACCGATTCTCAACGTCGATCAAAGCAATCTTTTTTCCTTTATTTCAATTCATTTCCATTTATTTATTTTTAATCGTAAAATATGTAAATACAATAATTGTGCTAAAATAACGTGTCATCAAAATTACTTAAAGTACTTTGGTGATATTTTGTAAAATTTCTTTTTTGTATTTTGTTTATTAGTTTAAAAATCTCGAATGTGCGCGATAGATCGACGTTGAGTCAAGTAAGTAAACAAGTAAGTTTGAATCGCGGCACGTTCAAACGACAACTGAAGAGATAGCAAACCTAACAGCACGATTTCCACTTACACCCAGTACGCGTTCTTACAGTTTTACAGCAGCGTGTCTTGTAATAAGGTCTCTCGGTATAGCGACGAACAAGTATGCTATTATCGCATAGTGCATTGGCGCAGGATCTCGAGAATTAATAGTTTTTAAGGAAAAGGTTAATGAACTTTTTTAATAAATCAATGATAAATATTTAACAATTAATATTAAAAAATATCCACAAAATTTGTTTACCTGTAATTCGATACATTTACCAATTACAAAAGTAATTATTACGCGTGATAATAATTATAGACAGTGGATTAATATAAGTTGAAAAATTGAAAGAATTTAATTTATGATATAAATAATCGTAATATAAAATACATTTTTTGAATGAATTTCTTATTTATTTAGTTCACTGTCATAATTATCAACACATAAGTGTATAATCATTTATTTGAATATATTTCTCTTACGTGTGTGTATGATTTGAATATAATTCAACAATCAAAATAAATACAATTTCTTGAAGATTTATACGTTAACAAGTGGAATTACAAAAAAAAAAAATCGTCTCATTCAAACAGTGATGCATCAGTTGATGCAGGATGTGATTCATCTAAATACGAAAAAATATAATGATTAGATTGGTTAGATCGTAGCAGATTCGATCGTTAATTGAGGAAAAAGATGAACTTATGTAATTGAGAAATCACGTAATGGAGAAAGAGAATGATTTATTTTTGCAAAGATATACATAAATGATCAATTGATTTAAATAATATGTAAAATACAAAAACAATACATTTTGTATAAAAGGTACTGGGGGCGCTCTTGCGTGTCAATATATTGGTGATTAGATAAGTTTAAACTGGAAGTGTGCCGTGTTAATGTAAAGAACGTTCAACTTGGTCAGTTTTCAACGTTGGGTTTGGTCAATGAAACCTAAACGTTACGAAATTCGAAACAAAGGTGACAAAGTTAATGTTTCATTCATTTTTCACTCTAGCTAGTCAAAAAATATTATTATTAAAAACAAAATATGTAGTCGCGCGTTTAATAAAAAATAGTGATATATATTTATAAAAGTGATATATATAAATATAGATGATATATATAAATATAAAAGATAAAGGACAAACTCGTCTTTCTTTTTTTTCATTTATGTCGAGATATTCACAAACGTCTAATTACGCATTATTTTTATGAAATTCATCCTATTACACACAAGTCTTTAAGAATGACTAACCGTCATGCGTCAGAATCGTTCTTTTTTTCACTCCGCGTTTGTATATGTAAGTATTTACTTAAACATGGTTATGTATGGTTAGTCTCAATTTTTTTTACTAATTCCAACCATTACATAATTATTTTACTTGATTACATTTAGGAAAGGAATGAATCTTTATCTACTTATTTCATCTTTCACACATATCTGTTAATTTATATTTTTATTTTATCATCTTTGCATTCATCAAATTCAAGATAAATTTGAACGTAAGGAAGTACACGTGTCCGATTTCCTCATCTTCATATTTCAATATAAAAATTTAAAGAATAAAAGCGGAAGTCTTTTCTCTTTCCAATACATTGACACTTGAATTCACTATTCAACGATATTGTAATCAAATCGGAAACGTTTTATTCTTTCGTTATTTGTTCCTGTGTGCGTGTATATACAGGATGGAATTTTTCTTTTTCATTTTTATTTTTATCAATTAGTAACACTAATGGAAAAATTGTAATATTTTTTCATAACGTTTTCAAAATGATCATCCTTATATTTAATAAAAACGTAAAAATATTTTCTAAAGATACTTCGACGATATTCTTATAATTTTTCATTATTATTTATTTTAAATTATTTTGGACAACCTTACATGTGCATACATTTTTTCGTCGATTGTTTTGCGCGATAAGGATCTTCTTAATATTACAAATAACTTGGTCCTTTTATGTTGGCTATCGTATCTGAGAAAAAGAAAAGGGAAAGATTAAAGTAAACCCGATAAAGCAATCCTTTTTCCCTATATCAAAATACCATTGAAAAAAATATTATCTGCCGAAAAGAGTATCAGATATCCAGGAATAACAACGTTAGGATACTATGCTTTTATAACTATCATTTTTATCCCGCATTATTGTTATTTTATAATATTCTCAAATAAAATGTTCTCTTTTAATATATTACAATTTTTCTATGTACAATTTCTGGAAATATGTTAAATATTTTTTGTACGATATTTAATAATAACGATCAATCGAATAAATAAATTCATTAGACCATTGAAAAAAAAACAAATAATAATAAAAAATAATAAATAATCGTAGAGCATATAGATGGATCTCTGATATTTCGTTAAAAATTCTTTGTTAAAAATATAGAAAGAAAAAAAAGGAGAGGGAAAAATAAATGAAGGATGAATGTCGTTATAAAATTGAACGTCAACGAGACAGCCTTGAAATCTGAATTAACGCATGCTTCACGTATCAAATCTTTCGATTATAAATTCGATTGAAAAGGCGAGATGATGGATCGATATATATGTTACTCCAATAAAATAAAAAAAATTGATAAACGAAATTGAGAATAAAGAAGAAAGATTTAACCAATAGGCGATCTGAAATAAGCGCCATCTGACCCTTAATACACAAGGCCCTTTGAGACCAAGTTTGGGGGCTACAAAATTAAAGAAAGATTGGTCGTCAGTTCGTGACAACCTTCGCTTGATTTCTAAACAAACGATTCGTCGTGAACTTCGTCGTGAATTTTGTCGATTTCTTTTTTTTTTTTTTCTTCCTCTTCTTCTTCTTTTACCGCTGAAGTTCCTGAAAGTCGGATGAATCAAAAAATTATATAAATATAAAAAGAGATTATATAATTATCGGTGATAAAATCGAGATATTTAATTGTTCAGAAAATTCCGAATAATTTCGAAGATGCCCACATCAAGGAAAATACGTCGAGATGGTAACAACAAAGAGGGTAAGTCGGTTATATCTCTTTTTCTCCTTCGTTATAATCAGTGAAATTTTACTTTTCCTTTTTATCGTTTAATAGATTCGATATTTTTAAGATTCCGATATTCGACAATGAGACTGTTAAATAAAAAGAACAACGTGATAATCGATAATCGAGCTGTCGTTATATCGGCAACAATTGTTTCATTCTAATTTTAATTAATTAATTTTTTTTTCATATTCACCATTTTTATTGATTATTTATTTACGAAGATGCTTCTTTTTCTCGAATTACATGATTGTAATTAGAAGAATTATTTTTGGTATCATTGTTAGCGTTAATACAAAATTAGTATATTTATACATATTATTATACATTTATAATTTATAGAGAAATTATATTATTATCATATTGTGTATCGATTTTGATTAGTATTGCGGCATTATCCTCCATGAAGATAGACAAACGAGTGCTGTTACTTGAACACCGATTAATCTTATCGATTCCCTTTGTTGAGGATATTATCGCGTGTATTATAACGATCGTTTAATTTTACTTTCAAAAAATATATGTAATGTGTAAGAAATATGTTACAATAATAATGAATTCGCCGATAAATATTATTTGTTTTAAATTGATATACGGCAAAGTGATTAATTATAGCACGATTTATTGATTTTTTTTTATGGTTAAAATACAAATAAATTTATTTATTCAAGAAATGAAAAAGAAAAGAATTGTATACGAATATTTTTCTCTCAGGTAACGCACGTTTCTCGTCGCATTCATCAAAAATAAATAATAAAATTCCCGATCTGGAGGAAACTACGAAAAAACTTTTACAGTTGGAATTAGATTGCGACTATCAGATAACGCAAATCAATGGACAAAGAAAATTTGGACCACCTGTGAATTGGGACGGTCCAGCTCCTGGTCCAACATGTGAGGTGTTCGTAGGTCGAATACCACGTACAATTTTCGAACCCGACTTATATCCGGTCTTCAGTCTGATTGGACGTATTTATGAAATTCGTTTAATGATGGATTTCTCAGGAATGAACCGTGGGTTTTGTTTTATAATGTATACCAAAGCAGAAGATGCATATAATGCTGTTAAGAAGCTTAATTATTATGAAATTTGTCCTGGCCATAAAATAGGTGTAGTTAATAGTATTAACCACTGTCGGTTAATTATAAAACAATTGCCCTTACATATCGAGGCTGAAGAAGTAGTTCAGGTATTAATATATATATGTTTTCTTGTTACTTAATAAATTATTTATTATAATAAGACATAATATAGAAAATAATTGCATACAAATTTTCAGCGTATTTACGCTTACACGGATGAAGTTAAGGAAGTAGTAGTTTATCGTAACTTCGATGAATTAGAATGTTACGCTATAATAAGTTACCTAACTCATAGAGGAGCCGCAATAAGTAGAAAACGATTACTACCCTTAACATCTTGTTTATTTTCTAATAAGAAAGTTATTATTGATTGGGCAAATCCTACTTTTTATCCGAAAGGCGTGGTAAGTATACTTAAAGTATTATAATTGGATCATTCTGATGTGAATTATATTTAAACGAATGATTCAATAATTAATATGCGAATATTTAATATGTGTTTATCGTTAATTTGCAATGAAAATTGTTACGATAAATGTAATCAAAAAATTATTTCGGGACGATTGCGTAAAAATGTGTTATTCGTAAAATATTGGATGAATGTTTGAAAAGAACGACGAAAAAAAGAGATGATAATTTGTGTTTGCAATAGATAAGGAAGGTAATCGTCATTTTCCAAGCGTCTTTGAAGAACAATGACGTCAGCTATCTCAGGTCTCACGTAAAAACGGAACGTGGGTACTTTCGCTGTTCGATTATTTCTCTACGTACGTTATTACGATTCGTGAGAAAAGTACCATCGAAGTCTTTCTTTCAAATACGAGAATCGTTTGGTAGAATCGCGTGGATCACATGCGAACGTCCTTGCAGTTCCTTCAATTTAAAATCTTTTTTCACTGCCTTATGAATTTCCTGCTTCCACGCCACGTGCATTATCTTTTTATTCAACAAAAGTAATTCAATATATTTATCATTAACGGAAATGAGAAGTAGTGTATAAAAAATTATTACAAAATTGGTTACCTATATTTATATGATCAAAAATGATATTTGAAATTTAATATATTAATTTATAGAATTTTTTTTTGAACATTTAATTAACATCTGTTGCGTAAAATTCCAATTAAATCTATAATAAGAAATTTCAATTATTTTAACAATTTCAAAAACTCGCGCGGTAACGTTGATTATCGACAGGACGCAGTTAGTTCCCAAATGTCCGCTGAGCAGCGCTACTAGTAGCCTACTGGTGGCGCTGCTGTATTGTATATGTATCTCCCACTTCAGTCGTTCAGTGGATACCGTGCGGTAGTGTTCCATTTGACAGTTATATTGTTATTATCTTTATTAAAGATTATTATTTCTACTTGTGACGGTTTTAAAATAATACGAAGATGGAGAATAACGTGTATAGTGATTATCGGAGCCCATTGGCAACCAGATACGCTTCGAAAGAAATGCGATACAACTTCAGCGAGCAAAAGAAATTCAGCACGTGGCGTAAGCTCTGGGTATACCTTGCGAAGGCTGAAATGGTTCGTAATTTTACCATTACATCGATCGAATTTATTATCGTTCATTATTATAACCAGTTATATTTTGTATATTCGTTTGCATTCTGCAGAAAATTTTTATTTTTACTTATAATTTTTGTATCTTTTTTCTTAGTATAACGGTACGTTATTATTGCATGCAAAGTAATTTTTTACAATTTCAAATGAATTGTATTTGCGATATTTATTATCGAAATTAACGTTTGAAATGTTAACAATATTACAATTGTAATTTTATCGTTTCATACAATATTTTGTCGATACTTTAAGTATATTAGTAAATCCGTTCTCTTTTTTTTATAGCAAAGGTTATCTTGCGTTGTTTTATAGGATATCGATTTTGACCTCTAAGTTAGACGTATTTTGATGAAAACAATTCTTATTCGAAGTAAACATTAAAAAGACTGATAGTAAACTTGCTATGCTTGCTTTCGAAATCCGAATCTTTCGCAAACACGAATTATCACGTAGATTAATAGTTAATACGATTAATAAGACATAACATTGTATAAAATAACTGAATTTTTATTTCTTGTAACCGGTTATTGATAAGATTAAATTTCTTAGGAGAAATAAGTCGATAAAGAAGTAAGTATTCTTACCGATCATCGATATAGACAAAATCCAGAAAAAAAGAAAATGATTTTCTTGCAAATTACGATAAAAATTAGAGAAATTTCACGTAGATAATTAGTAAAATACAAGTTGCTGATGACAGTTTGAGGAACATGGTACTTGCGATGGGGATGGCAATGTCACATTCAAGAAGGTGTTCATTCCTTCCATAGAAAAGTATTCAAAATCGGTTCAACAATTATCAAAAGTAAATGAGCAACTAACTTTTGGCATGAACGAGAACTACTACAACAACAGCACAAATTATTCGGGAAGGCTCGTCAACAAATCTTTGCCGTCGTATTCTTCGGCAAATAAATTTACGAATTATGGTAACCAAAATTCTTATCTAAACTGTTTTTATTCTATTGACAATTACTTATCGTATAACAAATATATACGATATTGATAAACTTAAAAAGTAATATAAAAAACTAATAATTTTAGCAAAGGACTTCGTAAAACCGTTTAAGTCGAGTTTTCAAGAAAGAAAAAAAATCATCCCAGCTAACACGAGTTCATCTAATATAGTACTTTCTAATAATTGTCTTGCATCTAATCTGAATTCTTACTCTTTACCGTTTTTTCAACAGAATAATCAAATATTTAATAGTAATAATATCGAAGGATCATCATTTCAAAACAATTTAATATCGAATCGTGTAACTACATTTAATGATTCCATGTTACAGCCGAAAGAAGGATTCATTCAATCCTATCCATATTCCCAAGTTATTAGTATGTTACAATCTTATTCTAGTTTAAACGATAATTTTGATCAAAACGAATCAACGAATGTGAATTATCGGGATCAAACTAATCCGTGGTATTTCATGTATTTACAAAATGTGTCTAATTCTAACTCTCCACAGCAACAAACTCACAAAAATTTTAATATCAAAAATTTGCAAAATGTTCAACAGAATCAATTGCTGATTGACACTTACAATTCACAAAATACAACTTACGAAGATGTTATGAAATATGATAATATGATGAATGCATCTTCTTACCCTTTTGGGTCGGCTAATCATTTCGAAAAAAAAGATAATAATTGTATTAATTTGGTAAATCAATCGGAATGTTACGTTAAAAAACAATTTTCTTCAGATTATGATCTAAATAATAATGTTTTTAACGTATTTCAGTATTCTCAGGGTAGACCGATTCTTAAACAAAAATTATGATCTAGATTACATTTTTATTTCGTTTTTTTTTTCTTTTTTAATTTTCTACTCTCTTTCTTAATTAGATTAATCGTTATTAGTATATCAATTATAATCCTACAAAGATATACTTATTAAAATGTCGGTATGAATCTTATTAAAGTTTTCTTTAATGACGTTAAATAACTAATCAATAATTAATCATATAAATAAGAACATCAACTTGATTCAATATTATCGTTTTTATAAATCACGTTTTCTATTTAAATATCATAATCTATAACTAAGATATTACCATTTTACCTATTACCATATACTTATTTTATTACTTTTTTTTTTAATATTTTTGGTTCTTTAATATTTTATTACATATATAAATACAAACTAGCAATGTATAAAATATCTTTACAATCAGTAACCTATCACATTATTATAGTCTTCTTCTGTTCTTTTTTTTAACGTGCTAACAATATTAATATTTAACATTAATTTAAAATATATTCTATTGTAATTTACACGATGTGTAAAAGAAGAATTGGAAACGATAAAGAGATTTAATTTTGTACCAAATTTTTTTTTTTTTTTTTTTTTTTTTTGTTTCAATAGATCTCAGCGAAAAATGAATCTATTAATTGTCAAAAGTGAAATTATTTTAATGTTATAATAGTATTATGTTGAAATAAATATCTCTATCAAGTAACTATATTTACATGTATTAAGACCGTTTGTTAGTTTAAATTAACACTTCTTCTTAGATTCGTAATATTAATTAATTGTTATAAGATATAATCTAAATAATATTTCAATCTCACATTCCTAAGAAGTATTGAATGAAATTATAAATCAATAAGTAACTTACATTTCGACTTATAATAAATTACAGACGTATTTAAGATTGTAATTGGCCACATTTCATACAGTAAGTAGGTTTTTCATCGTTTTTCTGTAAACATCATAGATAATTTAATTTACATATATGTATATATATATCTGTGAATGAAATTAATAAAATACTTTAGAAAAAAAAAGAACTTACAGTAACAACTCCTGTGCTACGAGCATCTATTATATATGGAAAATTTCCACAAATAGAACACTCTTGTAAGATATCTTTGCTTCGATCTGCAATGATCGGTACCTGAATAAAATGTGATTTATTAATACAATCATAATTAGTTGTGTTTTAATATTATTATTATTATTATATATATATATATATATACTTTATCTGAATAAGGAGGAGCACATAAATTGCAGTAAACTCTTCCTTCGTTGTCCTTGTAGACATTATAATACTGAAATATATCGGTTTGCGGAATCTGTACGTGAATAAATGCAATGAATATTTTAAAAAATATTAAAATTATTTTATTTAAAAAAAAATAATAATTTTCGTTTACCTTTTCTTTTCTACATACTGTGCATACGTCTATAACTGTCGTAGTTACATCCTGGAGAGTAGTATACGGCTCCTTGAAGATATGTAAAATAAAAAGATCGTTTTTAATTAACTTTTATTATTTTCGTATCGTATAGGTAATTCAAAGTTTACCAACTGCTGGAGTATCGACGTCTTGAAAGTATGGATCTTCCATTTGAACAACATAATTATTGCATTCTCTGGAAATATAGATGTTTTCAGAAATATTATAATTATAATAAACAGAAATATACACTCATTTTTGAAAACACTCACGGTATGTTATAACATGGATCGATTTTATTATTTCGTTGGAAAACCGAAGATATGATTTTACTTTTGTTTCCATGTGGGTATTCACTGACTACTTCATGTCTAATTAATATAAAAAAAAAATAACAATAATTATAAATTATTTAAATTTGTATAAATACTTGAATTTTTGTATAAAATAATTTATAGGAACGTATGGGAATGCACATATTCGATACGTAGTCCTGTTCGAATGATCTTTGATTTCTTGGTTTAACATCTTCCAACGGTATAAATCTCGAATACATATTAATATCTTCCTTTTTATTTTTCGAGTTTGTTTTAGATCTTAATTTCTTAATCTTTTTGTGATGTTTCACAGAATTAGAGTTTTCTTTTCTTTTTCGAACTTTATGCGTGGAACCGTTGTCGTTTGTATCAGATTTCGGTGTATCGGGGACTTGATTTGATCGTAATTTTTTAACATCACTGTTTTTACTTTCTGCAAAATATATACTAATTGTAAGAAAAAGAGAAGAAAAGAAAAAAAAAAAAATGATTTCAAAAATTTATTTTATGATTTATTATATAATATAAATAATTATTAACATCAGATAAATCGTGTTTAACTAATTTTTATACAATAATTCGACTTACATTAGTTTATTGTCATAATTACCGGCACACATTTGTTGTTTTTAATTTTTATTTTTATTTATCGAATTTATCCTTTCTCACACATTCTTTATACGATACTTTTACCTGTAATGATTTCTTTATAATCTTTGATTTGAACAGGAACTTTTGCCTCCTCATTCTTGATAGTATTGTTTCTTTCTAACTCGACACTTTCAGATGTAATCGACAATGTTTTGGGTTCGGTTTCTTCAATCTGTTCTATTAAAAGTTCATCTTTCAGAGATTTTTCGGTAATTGAGAGGCCTCCCTGTAGCGGTATGTGACTATAAAATAATATAATTTAACACGTATGTACGATATGTTTAAAAATATGATAATTGTTAATTAATTTAAATTCATGATTTACGTAGTAACAATTTGTTCTTTAGACCCGGTCGAAGTTATTACTTCCATTGTAGTACTCGGCGTTGCGCAGTATACTGTTACAGTCATTTTCGTGAAACCTTTGACAAAAGAATTTATTTTTTATTTAAAAAAAAAGAGAAAAAAATACGTACACGTACCAAACTAAAAGTTTACTAAAAAGTTTTATACCAATTGTAAGCTTATTGGATTGAAAGTGTAGTATGAATTTATTTACGTATTAAATTTAAAAAAGAAACAAAAAACAGGACTTAATTTTTTTTAGAGTATTGTGTAGTGTTTTATACTGAAAAAATTCTTCTCCTATGTACGTTCGATTCGTCAATTTTTTTATCATCTCGTTGTGTGTGTGTGTTTTTTTATGAACTTTTAATTAGATTTCATGAATATTTCTCACTAGTTAAAGCTTGATTAGCATCGTCTTTCGTTCGATCTCGTTGGATTTGATTTTCCGTCGTACCTTGTTCCTTATGATCGATCTTTTGATTCTGAGGATGAGATCGATTATTTTTCTTATTCTCAGGCTGTTCTGATGATTTTCGTTCTTCTATCTGTAAAACTTCGGTTTTGCAATTGCAACTGTATAACATAAAAATAATGTCAACGTATAAGAGACATTTTAAACGCGTTAATTTCAAATAAATCCTTGGTGGTTGTTGAATTAAAAAAAAAAAATTTAAAATTCGTTATTTGAGACAAAGTATAATGAACTCACTTGGAATCGCATGGATGATTAATACTACCTCCGCGTAAAAGTTGAATTACAGTTGAACAAGGTACACATTGCGAAGAAGAGTTATTTGTTAAAGCTGACTGAGCTCCCAAAGTTTGAAGTTGTTGATTGCAAAACTCGCATTTGCTCATGGTTTGTACCAAAACTTCTTTCAGTTCGCATTTACAGGTCTGTTAATGTTTTTTAAATAAACAAATGATAATCATTTAATCGAGTTAATTTGAATAATTAATTGATCTAATCTCAATGTATTAACCTGAGATTCCACTACAGTTACGTGTTTCGGTTCCGTTTGAATTTCAGCGACTTTTACATCAGAAACTGATGGGACATTTGTTGGAACATCTACGTACTCTCGTCTACGAGCAATACTTACTTTTCGTAAACTGTGATCAGGTTCAACAGTTTCAATCGTTTCACCATTTTTTGGAGATACGTTGATTGTACTAACGCTAGTCGTTGCATCACGTTTAATAATCTGAATAGTGGGGATATATAATTTGTTTTTAACAACAAAATCATATATATTTGGAGATAATAACAACGTTAAAATATACTTCGTTAGATGGCAAAACACGATCCTGCTGTTCTGGGAAAAGTAATTCCCTTTCTTGATAAAACTTTTTGTAATTGGCACATTTATTTTTCCAGATACTAAAAAAAGAAGAAGAAGAAAAAAAAGGAAAATATCATTATAATACTTCTGATATGTTTTTTTTTTAAATAAATATAGAAAAAAGAAATTGCGTTAGTAATTCGAGACTCACGCGAGTACGATTAAAACGTCCATCAGAAAAAATACGGATAGTACAAAGCTGAAGAATACCAGGGTTATCTTTATATATTTAAAATTGTTACTGCTGTATGGTGACAAAAGTAGAAATAAACTAGCGATAAAAAATAACAGAAAACCCAGCATAGAGAAGGTGAACATCTATAACACAAAGTACAATAATATATAATAATTTTGTTTTAATATTAACGATAACTTAATATTGATCTTATTAAATTTGTACAATTGTTTAAAATAAATTAATTTGTTGAGATATTCTCTAAGGGATATGGAAAAAAAGAAACAAAACTCATTATTACCGGCGTGATAGGTAGACTCTTAATGCCATATTGAAAAATTATTTCCAGACTGGTAATAAATGCATAGATACCGTTTAAAATAATGAATAATAAGCAAACAATTGTAGGCATTGGAAAACTTGGTATAAAAACTATGTAAACGGCCAGAAAAAAGAGGAACACCGAAGTGATCTAAATCAACAAAAAAAATTTTACGAAATTAATTTTCATTTTTTTTTTTTTTTTTTGAGATAATCTCACAAAATATTTTATTTCTCTTTTTACTTACAAATTCAAAAACCCTTATAGGTTTTAATACCGACGTATACGCAGTGTTGTCTTCTTTATAAAGTAGTTGCTTCGATTGATCATCGTTTGTAGGTTCTTTAGCTGATTGAAAAATAAAAAGAAAAAAGAATTTTTGCAAAAGATAGTTCGTTTTTTTTAATAATCTTTATTAAACTTACCTTGTTCGGACATACTTTAATTACGATCGAATGTAAAATATATTATTTTGATCTCCTTCTGTGTCAAATAATTCTTTACGAACGGTTTATTCTTGTGTCAATGTTAATTCGTTTCTTTTGTTTTGCCTTTTTTTCTTTTCTTATTCGATCACACGGGTTGGCTATGATCAATGGCTTTTTTTTTTTTTATTTCAAATATATCTACATACGTATTTTTAAGTTATTATAAAATATGATTATTCTTTTTTGTCATTTTTAAAAAAAAGACGAATAATTGATCGAAATAAAATTTTTATTACAAATGATCGCATTATTTAAACAGATCATAAATTGCGTAAAAATTAATTTCACATGGTGATTCGAATAAAAATAATAAAAATCCTTTAATAACCGTACAAGAAAATTAAAAGAACGTCGATTAGATATAAAACAGAAGTAATCACTGACAAGGCAATGGTCGTTATTAGCCTCCAGATTTCTTTCACTTCGTTTTTTCTAGTAATACTAAAAATTTGAAAGGCAGCGAGTAACAATAATACTACACCGACTATTCCAAATAGAAACATCTAAAAATATAATCAAAGTTTATAGTTTATTAATATGTTAAGCAAAAAGAAAAACTTTAATTAGACAAACCATTGAAATACTTTTTTATTTCAATATATTAATATAAAAAAAAAAAAATATAATATTATATCTAGATAAATACTTTGACCAACCGGTGTTTCCGATATTGGATCACCACCAAATTGGCTGATAATGTCGATAAAAGTTATGAAGGTAAATGAACCAAATACCAAAATTAAAAGAATCTTGTCTGTTTCTGTATAAGGTGATCCGTAAATGATCGTGTAGATCATTAAACCAACGAGGGAAGATAACAATGACTAAATTATTGAAAAAAAAATTTGCTAAGATCATTGAATTATTATTTTTGTAAATAATTGTTAAATAAAATACTCACAAATTGTAAAAGTCTTATAGGTTTTATTATCGGTATGTGTTCGTAATCGTCATCGTGCGTTGGTCTGGGTTCATAATATGTTGGTACGTTATAAGGATTTGGTATCATTAATTAAAATAGCTCAAATTTTTTTTTTAATTTTCATCTCCTAAGAAACTTATATTCGCGGGAAGTTAAAATGAATTACGTAACCATTTAACCATAATCAAACATATTCGATTAAAATGTTTTTTAGATTGACTTGAATATAGCACGAGATTAAATTAAATCACATAATCGATATTAGGTATTACATTATGATCGTAAATATACGTATAAGTTTAAGATTATATTATATATATATATATATATATATATATATATATCTTTTTAATTTCATTTTATTGTATCAATAACGAATTATATCATACATTATTTTGTTGATAATATTTATTCATGTCAGTGAAAAATATAAGTGTATTAACATAAATTGTCTATTACTAAATTGTACAAGTGGTCAAGGTGCTGCTGTGTTAGATAATTTGATATATAATATTAAATAATTACATAGTAAATATTATAAGTATTATAAGCGATAGCACATTGTTTTCTCTCTAATTTCCTAATATCAATGTTTTATATGATCTTTGAGATAATACGTATAAAATACGTAGAAAATATTTATTCGTTAAATCTATAGAAATATTTCTAATGCTTTATTTACGAATTATCATTGTTATCCTTAATAAATTTGGACGGATTCATTGCTTATATATATATATATATAGATATACGTTTCTATGCATTAATTAATTACGTAACATTAAGATTTCTTACAAGATATATTATTTAAACTTTGGACTTTAGCGTTGTACAATAATTTTGTCTTTTCTTTTTCAAGATATTTATTAAAATCTGAGAACTCTAAATTATATCAATATTCGCGAAGGCGGCAAAAATGTATATTATTTAAAAAAAAAAAATAAGAAAAAAAATTAATCATTTTATTGATTGATAAAATGCAATCGATTAAAAAATAAGATATGAATTTGATTTTGAGAACATTTGTTTGTTTCTTTACGAACACACTCGGTGATAATTCATTTTTTTTTCCCTTTTAATTACGAAATCTTTCTTAGAAATTATTGACGATTATATATTTTAAAAATAATACTTTCATTAGTTTCTCATGTCTTAGTTGAATATTTTAAAATCAAAAATACTTCGGCAACGAATGCTAATGCATTTAAAAAGACGAAAACTGCAGAAGATATTAACATGTCCATATATTGTTTGCTCGGATATATTTCGTTATTTAGCGTATAGTAGGGCCTTTGGATGGTACGCCAGTTGTGAACGATTAGGCTACCAGCAACTATGTGTAGAATCGCACCCAACGAGGCAAACAATATCATCTGTAAAAATAAAGTTGAAATAATTGATTAAAATATCCCAAAGAAATATCATTTCCAAGTAAAATATCAAAATTATCTATTAAAAAAAAATCGAAATTGTTTTTGTCAATTAAATTATAAAAATAAAACTTATATTTGATCACTCGTAACAAGGTGTTACGTAAAATCAATTACATTACTTTCAAAGGCGTAATCGAAACATAATTATTCTCATAGATTGTCGTCTTATTTTATTATTATGAATTAAAACATCTCGTTGATAATGTAGGTAAATACTTCATGTAGAGAAGTTAAATTTATCCTCAACGTTCGTGTGAAAATGATTGAAAACAATTTAACGCATCTACATGTACGAGAAAAATATTCAATAACTTTTACTTTTTCATACGATACGAACGTAATTCATTGTCTAGTAAATTAAAAAGAAATGATTCGACATGAAATTAAGAAACAAATTAGATAACTAATGCATTGACTAGGTGCATGAGTCAAATGCTTTAGTAAGTCTGGTAAACAACAGGTTTTTACATGATGTTACGTTATAGCAAGTTCCAATCGTCCGTTAAGCATGCACCGATACTATTACATCCGGTGGCATAACTAGTCACGAAGGAAACGAGATGTTGCTTGTAAATACCTCTGTGTGGACCTTGATGCGGTTTCTAATTATTATCGTAAACGTCTCGTGGCTTTAATAATGAGTCAGCTGTATAAACTAATCGAAAAAAAAGTACGCGTTTCTTTATACGCGCTATGCGATATGTGTGAATATCTTATATATCTTATTATAAATGAATAACCACATATAAATCAATTTGATTAAATAATAATAATAATAATTATTATGATTACGTATTTCCGAAAGTATTTTTCGACGAAACGATAGAAAAAATATTAACACAAATTTGTACCGTTCTTTTTGGCAATCGATCTCCAAGCAAATGGCATATAATAAAAAGCGTATTTATCATAACGTAACCAGCAACTGTGACATAAATGAAGGCTGCATCGTCTAACTTAAATCGTTGCTTGTTAAAAATCTTTTGAAGGGAATTTAAGGGATCGACTATTAAACCGATCGCAAAGATGGATAGTATCTGTAAATATAAAATGTATATTTCGTTAATTATTTGTTTTTAATTAATTAAATATTTTTATTTATCGATTGATTTTTTTGTGTGTAATATACTTACGATTTCGACAACTTTGAAAGAAACGGTAATATGTTTCGAGATTTTACTTTCCTTAGGAACCTCAGGAGTTCTTTGTGCTTCATCGGCCATTCTAACCCTACGATGTTTTCCTTTACCGTCGCCCAGCTTGAATGATTACTAGATCCAACCTTCAACAACGATCGATATCTTTTATTATACCTTTTCGCAAGAAGTACAATTGTCTACCCCTTACGACGTACACAATGATAAACATCATTAAACCATGTTGGGGTTGAACCGTAAAAGGGGGTGGATATATCAATGTAAAAAAGAACTTTCCAAGTTTTGATAATATATTGCACGGTAATTTTCCTTTTATTAAATTGTTTATATATATATGGAATTTGTGTTGAAACAATGCGATTTATTTTTTATCATCAAATTTTTGCCATTTATAAAAATAAAATAAAAAAGAAGAAGTTATGAAAAATTCGTGCATCCAAATGGAAATTTGATTTTCACAATATTACAAAAAATAAAATACCGCGTACATTTATATAAATTATTTTTATATTTTCCTATGTGGAATATAATTTTTAACATACTCGTATCATTATCAGTACGTCGTTAAAAAATACTATTACTTTGAACTAAACCGATAACGTACCCTAAATTAACTGTAACGTTTTAACATATGCCATTGACAACGAGTTGCTTCATGGGGAAAACAAAAAAATTATCATCTAGAATGAAACGAAAGAAAAGTTGTTTGTAGATAACTACGATAACGTCATTCGCGTTTCCCACGAAACTCAAGAGACCAAAAGAAAAAAAAAAAAACTAATTATGGGAATTATCTAAAATGTATTAAAATTAAGCGTAACGATCGTTCTCGGTTGTCGTATGCTTTTAAAAGTAATTTTAAAGTAAAAGAAAAAAAAAAAGAAATAGAAACAGGTCGTTCTCATAGATAACGTCTAATAAATATTTTAAAATACTTCGGCCGTACTACTATGCCTGACCTATGCTACAGCAATTTGTTCTCATTCGTAGCACCCACGTGCTATCGATCAGATGATATTATCTAATTTTCATCATTTTTATAGACTTTTAAACAAATGAAAATAATCTACGATAATTAAACATTTAAATAATACATATTATGCAATTTATATATATGCGACGATACATTATAATATTTAACATATAAATAAACATACAAAAAAGAAATCATCGTAACTTACCCAAATCACGTTATATTTCACCAGAATTATTATCTACAATAATTTTTAAAATATCGATAAAAATTCTCACGATAACACAATTTTTACGATTTGCCAATACTTGATACCTCTACAACAATTCACTTTCTTCTTGGGGGCGGGGTGGATGGGTTCATAAGATAAAGAAATTAATGAAAACAAATAACGATAACTATTTATTTGAATTGATGGGAATTTTCAGGACTCGTAATGAGATTGCTATTTCTTTACGGTTGTTAAAAGAAGGGTGTTTTAGTTTCCGGATTTTTTTGGAACTTTTCTACGAAGAAACGAAGAAACACACTATGCTTGGTAGAACGCGCAAGTTAAACTGGAACGCCAAGCATGACGCATTGAGTTCTAATGCTGTATAAACGACGCAGCAAGTCGAAACCGAAGCGCTATCGTCGACGACGACAACACAACGATTGTTTTAAGCTTCATTCACATTCGTCACACTAATGGGGTGGTATGGTGGGGGACTGGTACATCTTCGAAACACGTTTTATTATTACGTTCAAGTAAAATTGTATTACCACTCTATATGATCAGACAGAAACTTAATTCGTTGACATATTTATCGTGTGTACTCGAATACGATTTACAATTATTTAGATCAAAATCATTTTGTATAATTTTGTTGACTATATAATTCGTTTGGTTTTTTTTTATTATTATTTTATTAATAATTTATGTTTTAGATTATATTACGTTACATCGTTGATCGTGACAAATGATAAAATATATTTGATAAAATTTTATTATATTTTTTATTTAAAGTGTAGGTATATATTAAATATTATACGCGTGTATTTGATTAATTATTAATTATTTTATATAATATACTTTTCTTCATAACAATTTTGTAAAACAAAATGATTAAACAGGACGACCCAATTAACGCTGCATACTGAATGAAAATAATCGACTAGTTTTATTTTAATTTATGTAGGTATGTATAATATTATTTTTTATTTTTTTTTTTAATGAATATATTAAAATGAATGTAAGTATCCATAGCTCGTATAATATTGTGCAAGTGTGAATCATTTTTTCTCAGGTTTTCTTTGATAACATACTGTGTATAGTTCGAATCGATTGTGTCACATACAGTAGAAAAACTTATGTTAGTTATTCTTACAAACGCATGACTTTCTTATATCATTCGTTGAATCCGTCGTATGAAAAGAAAAATCTAATCTTTTAATATAATATATTTTGTCATTTAATAAAATGATATTATATACACATTGATTTAATTTATTTGATTAAATTAATAAATATCATATATTTATATATATGCTTTACAAAAAGACATCTTCGATCAGATTACGTTTAATTTAAAAAAAAATTTTAAATAAGATACATATGGTAATATTCTTCTTTGTGTTAAACAAAATATTATCATTTTACGTGATATTACTAAGAAAAGAATGTAGATATCACCGACATACCATGGGTGTGGTAATCTTCTTAAATTGCTTTTGAAGATGTATTAGTTAGAAGATATACGTCCTACGACCTATATGATTCACCATAATCTTTATAATCGTAGTACTTACTATAATACATTGTATGCACATATGAATGCTTTCTTGTAGGACGAAGTATTTCGATTATTATTTCAACAAAAAATCTAAACGATAGAGTACGAGCTATTTATTAATCGTAAACAATTTGTCAATAGAAATATTGAATTTATAATTGAAATTTTAAT